AAGAGCGGCGGGGGCCGCGCCATGCGCGACTACGATGCGGTCACCGCTTTCCTGGGCGAGTGGGGCCGCTTCCAGCGGCTCGTCTTCTTCCTCCTCAGCGCCAGCATCGTTCCCAACGGCTTCAACGGGATGTCGGCCGTTTTCCTGGCCGGCACCCCCGAGCACCGGTGCGCCGTGCCCGGCGGGGCCAACCTGAGCGGCGAATGGCGCAACGCCAGCATCCCGCTGGAGCTGCGGGAAGGGCGGGCGGCGCCGAGCCGCTGCCGCCGGTACCGCCTGGCCGCGCTCGCCAACTTCTCGGCGCTGGGGCTGCGGCCCGGCTCCGACGTGGAGCTGGGGTCGCTGGAGCAGGAGCCCTGCCTGGACGGCTGGGAGTACAGCCGCGACGTCTACCGCTCCACCATCGTCACCGAGGTGCGCGGCCGCGGAGACTTTCCTCCCCGCCCCCCCGCCAGTGCCGGTGTTCCCCGGGGAGAGGCTGGGCCGGGGGTTTTGGAGGGGGACAGGGAGCAGCAAGCGGCCGGCCGGGCGGCTGCGGGAAGGGGTGCGGGTGGATGCGGCGCTCCGGGGAGAGGGAGGGATGCGTGGGGTGAAGGGCCTCGGCAGGTGCCGTTCGTCCGTATTATCTCAGGTTTGCCGTTGAGACTTCAGGTTGTTTTGTTTGGAGAGGGCTCGTCTGTGGAGGAGGTAGCAAAGGCTGAAAATAGAAGCCCGGTAGTTTCCTTCTGCCAGCGTGCTGACCGTCCCGGTGAACTTTCCATCCATTGCAATCGCTTGTTTGCAGCGTCGCTGCGGATGGGGGCATCGACACGCAAACAGCCCGGCTGGGGCCAGGGCGGCGGTGGGTCCTTGCTGGTCCCAGCACCCTGGACCAGTGCTGCCAGCCACGCCGGCAGCTTCGGTGGCCGTCGGCGCTGGGTCAGGCAAGTTGGTGTGAGGCAGGTGCCGTGGTCGCTGCCTGCGGTGTGCCCGGCTTGCTGCGCCCGGCTCCTGCGCCAGCCTGGCCCCCAGGCTGCAGCCAAGCTGTTGGCTCGGTTTTGAAGACCGTACAATGGCATCCTTCGTACAGGGTGTCTTGCGGGAACATCGGTGGTGACAGGTCGTGTAAGCGCTTCTTTGGGTTTTCTGGCCGTGCCGCCGCACAGCGGCAGGGACACGCTGTCTGTCTTTCTGCCCGCGCTGGCAGGGAGCGCGGAGCTCTTGCAGAGGAGGAAAACACAATTCCTCTATAGCTGCAGGGTTGCTGCTGCTCTTTAGTGTCGTGTGAGGGGGTTCAAGGACTCGCGGGCTCATCCTCGCACTAGCCAGCGTTTGCGTTCAGCAGCCGGTGGGCTCGTTCGGCCGAGCAGCGTGCCGAGGGACGCCCTGCTCACCGCCGATGGCTCACGCTCGGGGTGCACGGCACGGCAGGGAGCGAGCGTCTGGCCCTCGTCTCGAGTCCCTGTGACTCAGCAGCAACATCTGCCACCAAAGAATGTTGCACGGGGACACAGCCAGGAAAGGTCCTGACCGAGAGGTGCGTGGCTGCGGGTCTGTGCCCCGGGGACCCGGTCTGTGCCAGGGGCGTGCAGACGTGGGCTCAGCTGCATTGAAGCATGTGGGGAGGGAGGCGAGTGGGGAGCGACCCCAGGTTAGGGGAGAGCACGACGCGGGCGGGGGATGCCAGTCTCCTCTCGTGTGCCCAAAGCGAAGCTGTTGGCATGCACGACGCCTTTGTGTGCCTGTCTCTTGCCGTTTGTGTCGGTGGTTGTGCTTAGTTGCCGGGGATCCCGCACAACACCAAATCAAGGCAGGAGGTGCTTGGGAAGCTCGTCCCACTCCTGGCCGTGGGCGAGCGCTAGCGGCAGCCTGGCTGCAGCCCACGTGTTGCATGCAGACGTGCCCGGCTGTAACCCGTGGGCTGGCACGGCCGCGTGGTCGATGCCCGGTAGCCACCGCCGGCGCAGGCAGTGCCGCGGCACTCGCTGCTGGAGGGAGGCCAGATTATCCCAGGATTGGCTGTGAACTCATAATCTGTGGTTTGGAGTTAGCAGTTGCTCTCAGGGAGACAGTAAACGGAGCAAAGGGAGGAAAAATGCTATTCCTTCTTAATGAGCAGCAAACAACTTGTGTTGGCAGATGCCAAACAAGAACCTTCCCTGCCAGATTCGGATGGGACGCAGTGGTGGGGTTTGCCACAGAGCCTGGGGCACGCCAGAGAGGCAATAGCACATTCAGAGATGGAAACCAAGTGCCAGGTTCCCATCTGTAAGCCAGATGGAAAAGAAAGATACTTGTTTTGTTTTAAAATTGTCACAGACATTTGGAAAAAATGCAGAATTTGTTTTTAAAACAACAAAAACAGGCACTGATGAAAGCCTGAAAAGAAGCAGTTCAGTTGAACTTGAGATGATTATTTTTGTACCCAACATTTTTCTCTGTATTAGGAAAGACAAGGCAGGACATGCCGTCAGGAAAGCTCAGTGAAGAAACATCTTCAGGTCAAGAACTCAGTTGAGGAGCAAAACTTGATGGTACAGGATTAAGCGCTGGATTTGTGCAGTTGCATCAAATCCTGTTATTATTGCTGCTTGAAAGGAACAGGCTGGGAGATGCCAGCTCAGCACCGGTTTTCTTGGTCTGCAGGGACGTGGTAAACCTTGCAAACAGAGGATCCCAGACCTGGTCACCTGCTTGGTCTTAAAATGAAGTTGATGGTGGAAAAGTGAATGTGTCCACAGCACAGGTGAAAAAGATCATCAGGCCAGGCTGATAAGAATGAGTCTGTAAGTGTGATGATGAGCAAGTGGAAAGCTGGGGTTAGGTGTGATCCTGCAGCTGAGATGAAGGGGCTGCAGGGTTTCCTTCTGCTTCGCAGGGCTCAGCCGGGCCCCTCGGCAGGCTCCCGGGGCGCAGGAGCCCCTTGGCCCAGCTGCCTCCCCCTGCCTCCAGGGCAGCTCCCCGTCCGCTGCACCTCCTCCAGTCGTCCCGACATAAAATTGCTGTTTTCCACCTAAGCAGGTGGCCGCTGCACTGAGTCGGTGCCACCCACACTTGCCCAAGAGGGCTTGAGCTGATCTAGCAGGTCCTAACCCCAAAGCAGGGCTGCTTCTCTCTCACCACATGTGCTTTGAAATTAATTTAAACTTTAAGACATGTGTTTTTGTTACGCTGGGGTTTTTTGGTCTGGAACTTAACCTGCTTCTGCTTTAATTCCAGATAATGATGCTCAGATCTGACATTAATTAGAGGTTCAAGCACAAGCACCAGTTTTGCTCTTTGGAGCAGGGCGTTGGCATCCAGTTAATTCCATTGAGCTAGGTTGTCTTCCAGTGCCGCTCCCTGGGGACACGCTCGCTGGGCTGCTCGCCACCACCGAGGCACGGCACGTACGCCATGCACCATCGCAAGACCCACGTTGCAAGGCTTTTTCCAGCAGCGGTGAGCAGCCCTACCCAGCACCCGTAGCCCAACCTGCGCTTGGGCATGGAGGTGTCTGTGCTCGTCACTCGTGCACTGAGTGGACCCGGTCTCATTGCGGGACTTGGTGCCCGGGGTGCCGCATGGGGCAATCTGTGAATATTTTTTTAATATCTCTTGAGCTCTTCATCTTCAGATTTACTCTTGGAAACCAGGTCAGATTTTCCTTGGTTTACAGCCTTGGCCATTTACAGAAGGCTCCACTAGTGTTTTCTTCTCCAATGTGAACAGGCTGATACTCAGAATGGTTAGTGATTTCTGATTGAGAAAGCAGGCGGCAGGGTTGCTTTGGGCAGTCAGGGCACCTTCTCTGGCAGTTTCGGTTTTTCAGAAAGCTTCTCCATCCATAGCATAGTGTTCCTGCCAGCAGCGCCTGGCAGAATTGGCTCTTCCAGTAGCTGCGAGCTTGTGGGAAAGGGTTGGAGGGATTTGAGGGCAATAAAGTGATTTAATAGTGTTCTTCTCAAGCAGCTCTGATTCCTAGCGTTCAAAGCACTTGCTTGGAAGCTTACATGAACTTTGCTCTCCAGTATGCTTAGCCAGGGACATTACAGAATTACTTATTTTCTGGTTAATTAATAATTAGTCCAGTACAGTTTGGAAGTTACAGCTGTAGGTGGTTTAGCTGTGGCTGGGCTGTAGCTCCTGTGCCCATGGTGTGCTCGGTGCTGGCTGCGATGGATGCAGCCTCGGAGGAAAAGGTCAAATAAGTTAAATTTCATTTTTTCCCAAGTACTGCTTGCAAGGAGTCAGCATGCAATGAACACCTTAAAGCCCTATACATTGAAGCACAAGTGAAATCTTACCACTTGGTCACTGTGCGGTGCAAGGGCATGAGCCTCCATCAGACCGAGTGCCGTTGGGGAGGGGAGGCTGGTGTTTTGGGAGATGAGGTGGGTGTACCTATGGAGTTGGGCTGTATAGATCATCGCCCAGATCCCGCATGCTGCAGGTGGTATGGGTTCTAGAATAGGTGGTGTGTTTTTTTCACTCAAGAGCTTCAGGTATACTTGGAGTCAGATGGATTTGATTGCAGTTACATGTTTTCTGGTCAAATACAGTGAGTTCCTGCAAACAGTGACCCCTCTCCAGCCAGCCAGCTGCTGCGTGCTCTTTACCACATCCCACAAATTTTAAAGACTTGACTCTATGCAGTGAATTTTTGCTGTCTGTGCAGTATGTCCTCGGAAAAGGTAGAGTGAACAGCTGGGTAGGAGGCATTTGGCACAAAGGAAACACAGGAAGCAACTCAGTTTCATGGGCAAGTTATTATTTAGCTGGGTTTATTTTACAGCCAAAGTGCCTTTGACACGGTAGAGGCATTTTAAAAACACAGACCCTTAACCCTGAGCGACTGAAGTCTGAAGGTCCAGGAGCAGGTGCTGCACCGGCGGCCCCAGAGCGGGGTGCTCCGCACCCAGATAATTAATAATGGTCTTTATTGGCTGCAAATTCTGCCACTTTGTTAGTCACCAGCTTTCCCAGAGCAGGGAAGAGGGGGGGCAGCAGGATGTAGCAAAACATCTCTGTAGCGTGGGGGCCAGGTGAGCTCGGCTGGTGCGGAGCTGCTGCAGCTCCCACAGCCTGCAGGGGCATCCCCTCTGCTGCCTTTGCTTCTTCCCTGCTTGTGCTATGTAAAGAAGCACTTACTTCTAACTCTGTGTTTCCTGCAGCTGAATTTTGCTTCGTTTTAAATCCGGAGCTTGATTTCCACCAGGTTTCTTTGCAGAAATCTCAGTTTTCTTTGACATGTGAAACAGATCCCTGTATATATTTTTGTGACTAGCATCCTTGAACATACCAGAGCCCTACTGACCCGCATGCTGCCATTCACCATATCAAACACAGCAAAGATAAAGGCAGGTGCATGCCCAGATGGGCCCGCATCTCGCCATCTCTCCCTTCCCAGCAAGGACAAGAAAATATTTTACAGAAATGGCTGCCGTACATTTCTTTTTGTTATTAATCAGATTTAACTATCGGAGGCACGTTTCAGTCTTCAGATCTCAACACTCTTGTGTTAAAGACTCTGTGTGTTTCTCACGAAGAGGCATGGGCACAGTTAATCCCTTTTTGTCCTGTAGCTGCTGTTACTTTGCGAGCTGGGCGGAGGGGCAGAGGTACCCGGCTCCCCACCGCTGGCCGCGTACCTTCATTCTGCCTGAAAATAGGCATTGATTGCATCTCTTTCCTAAACTATAGTCTGGAGCAAACTGCATTGAACTACACCGCATCCCCCTTTGCTTTGGGGTTTACTTCTGCTTGTGTTCTTCTGCAGCAGAAGTGAAGCCCGGCTGCCGACCCATCGGTTGTTCGGTTTGGTTTTGGCAGGACTCACGGTGCTGTCAGATGGCACCTGGGTCTCTTCATAACGCACGAGTTGCTCTTTTTTGTTGCCTGCAGCTGAGGTGAGGAGCCTGAGCAGCCCAGAGGGGAGGTTTCTGCCTTTGCCTGGGCTTGGCCACCACTTGCCGAGACGGCTCGGCACATCCCTTCCCCGAGCACAGGGTGAGCACTGGTGTGGGCGATGTCCCTGCTCTCTGCTAGCATGGCTAATTATTAAAATTATGCTATCCTTTGATCTGTGATCTAATTAGCTTACCTTTGTGGTAGAGTTATCTAATCTGAGACTGACATGTTTGAAGTCTATCTGTAAGTGCTCCTGGCAGGCATGCCTTAAGGAGAAGATTAGTCACTGGGATGGGAGCAAGCTGCGGCAGAAACACACTCGGCTGTAACTTCGGTGGACAGAGACTCATGATGCTGTTTTTATTTTTTTAAACCTTGTCTGGGGTTATGAGCGGCTTTAGGTGGAAGTTTCCACGCTGGCTCATGTCCTAAGCCTCCAGCCCCAGCCGGGTCCGGTCGCAAGGCTGAGTGATGGGCAGTGAGTCAGCCCTGCAGGTTGTGGGGATGGAAAGGAATTTGCAAGCACATCAGCGCAGGAAAAGAGATTTCATTCTGTGTGTCTTCTTGCATATGTTTTGTCAACCCCAGAAGTTATAGAAATGCAGTGGGGTTTGTGCCGGCAGAGGTCAGGTAAACTGGAAACTGTCCCTGGCCGGGGACAGGGCAGTCCTTCACCCTTCTCCATCGATCTGGTTTTCTAATGGGGAGCATCTCGGGCCATGGGGAGCCAGGTTCTGGGTGTCGGGGGGGGCTGATGGGCACATGGTGGGGAGATCATGCTGGAAACGGGGCCGGGGCAGCCCCTGGGCTGCACATACTGACTGCCCATCAGGTTTGGCATTGCTGGCCGCTCACCCACTTCAGAGGCAATGGGGTCCCGTCAGATGGCTGCTGGTGTTTTGGCCTGATGGGGCTTGCGGGGGGAGGCAACCGCTTTCCTTTTTTTTCTTTTTTTTTTTTTTTTGTGCTTTAAGCAGGGCGTTCTGGCAGCGACCTTCGCCATGAAAACAGTGCTGGTGCCAGCGATGGGTGGAAATGCGGGTGTGGGGGAACTAAATTAAATTACATGTAAATGCGCGTGTCTCCAGCCAATAACTCCTGTGCCTGTGTGAGGCTCGGCGCAGTGTTGCGGCTGCGTCTGAGCACGGGCCCTTCTCTTGCAGTGGAACCTGGTGTGCGAGGATGACTGGAAAGCCCCGCTGACCACCTCCCTCTTCTTCGTGGGGGTCCTCATCGGCTCCTTCATCTCGGGGCAGCTCTCGGACAGGTAACGCCGCTGCTCGCGCTCTGCGCAGGGCAGACCTGGTACAGGGGCTGGTGCGGTTGTCTTTAAGAGGTGCAAAGGAGTTAAATGTCCAATTCTCTGAGTTTTGATCAAAATGAGGTAACTGTCCTGACTTCTTCAAAAATCCCAACCTTAATCTACCCCAGACGTAGGATTACTGCCTCTTGGGTGCTTCAGGAGACCAAGAACTGATCTCCGCCAGGAGCCCATGTGGCTGCTTTGCAGATTGATGTGGTGGTTTTCTCTTCATGACCACATTTGTTTCTTTATACAGCCTTTTTAGTAGTTTAAAAGATGTTGTTCTTTGTCTCACATTAATTGACAGTCCATTCTTAGAGCTGCAGGATAGAAACTTGTCCTTTGAATGGAAGCTCTGCATAGAAGAGAAGGTTTGCTGGAAATAAAGTAAGCATATCCAAGAGGAAGAAAAGAAGATAACCTGTAAATGGATAGCAATCATGTCATACCATCTAACTAAGAAGGTGCAAAATATCAAGAAAACATTACAGGCACTTGGCAATTATCTTGGCAGTATTGAAGTTCTGGCCTTACAAGTATCAAATGCAGAATATATGTTCCTTCTGTGAGTCTCTGCTTCCCTCTTTATACATCCCATAGCCTTTTTTCTATAACATTATGGCAGGATCTCAAATACTGCTTTGACTGCTGCCTGTTAGTGAGGAATTCATAAGAGTTTCAGTGCTCCTCTGGGTGTTTAGCAGATGGGTTTCAAAACTTGATGGGAGTCTTAATCCTAAAGCCTCCAGTGTTAAATTCCATGTGATCTGAATTTAATCTCCTGACTCCTGCCCCCAGTGCAGAAGTCAGTCGGTGTTACTGTTTGACAGGGAGACGAGATAATCACTAAATCCCACTTGGGGCCATGTGCCCACTGGAGAGCATCTGAGAAAGCGTGCGTGTCCCAGCGGTGGTGCGGCTGGTCAGCCTCCCGAGAGCCCAGTCACCTTCTAGCAGGAGCTATTCATTGAATATATATATTTTTTTAATGGTTTGTCAGTAAAGGGGTATGCTCTAAACCTGTACCTGAGTGATTTCCCCTGTGCTGCTGCAGAAACCTTTCCTAAGCCAGAGGCTTCTGCAGGCAGCCGGCGATGCGTCCCGTGCAGCATCGGTGCAGAGGGCAGCGTGCCCTGGGCCAGCACACAGGCGTGCAAACCCCTGTGTAAGCTTGCTCTTACCTTTCTGTAAGAAAATGCTACGTACTTCTAATGCAGAGAAGCAGGTGAGAGAAAGGGTGCAATATGTTTGGCAACTCGGAGAGACTGAAACCAGTTGATAAAGCTATTTAACACGTTTAAAGTGTAATGGTGTTGCACTGTTTAGATGCCAGTAGCCTAAAAGCCATCATTTCTTAACTTTCAGCTGTGTGGCTTGTAATCTTCATGTGTCTCACTTACGTACTGCTGTCTATTCTCATTAGTCCCTGTCTAGTAGCTCCCTGAAGTTTCTGCTCTTAATTTTTCTTCTTGGTTTATTTCCTGGGTCTTGGAAACTTGAATTTTTTTTTAGTGCTTATGAAAATAATAAACAAAATTCTTTAAGACGAACCAAACCTCAGGTTGTGCTAAGCTGCATCACTTGAGGTTGGATATTTGTGCTCCCTCAAGCTCTCTTTCATAGCCCCGCTCCAAAAATACATGCCGTTTCAATAACAATCTTTATCTTTTGCAAAAGGTTTGGCAGGAAGAATATCCTTTTCTCAACGATGGCCGTGCAGACTGGCTTCAGCTTCCTGCAGATCTTCTCTACCAGCTGGGAGATGTTCACAGTGCTCTTTCTCATAGTGGGGATGGGACAGATCTCTAACTACGTGGTGGCCTTCATACTGGGTATGAGTATGTCTGTGTTGGATTAAATGCTTGCTTAATGTACTGTTGGGGTTTTTTTCCCTCTGAACCTGCATCATTTAACTAGGCAGCAGTAAATCCTCCCTGGTGCAATTCCTAATTTAAGCCAGTATGATTTTTTTAGTCTTGGGTACTTCAAGGCTTTACTTTCTATAGGTTTAGAGAAACAGAAGAGAGCAAGAAGACCCTAAAGAAACATTCATTTCCCTCCTCTTTGGAGAAGATGTTCAAGGCAGCGTTCAGGGTTTGTTATCAGCAGAAGCAGGTCTGAGATAGAGAAGGCATTTGCGCCCCTCCCTGCCTCTCTGCCCCTTTGTGGAGGGGTCAGTGCATACCTGGGTTTAAAGCCTTGGGGCAAACCAGCATTTCCAGGCATCGCGAATGCGTGGGGGGGGACCGGAGCGGAGGAGCCGGGTGGGCGTCAGAGCCCCATTAGCCTTAAAGTCACTGGTCTCGGTGCCAAGGTTAGCGATAAAGTCCCTAATTTCAGAGGCCACGGTTTGTTTTGTTTTCTCCGGGGAGCATAGGAAGAAAGAGCCAGCGGCCGCGGGGAGGCTGCACTGCCGCAGTCGCTGCCTGGGGACCCTGCGGGGAAGGGGGGACCCTGCGGGGAAGGGGGGACCCCGCAGAGTCTCCTGCTAGTCACAGGGTTTTCAGGAAAGGTGACTGCATGGGTAAATTACGGACCTTGGGGGGGAGCTGGGATTTGCAAGATCTGTCTTTAAAGTGTGCACATATATATTTATCTCGCCTTTTAAACCGGTGGTGTCAAAATTACAATTTGTAGATCGTAATGTGGGCTAGTCTAAATTAAAACCGTATACTAATAGTTAATGCTGTTCTTTCCTACCCCACGAGGCTTTAACGGGGAAAAATAGAGCAGAAGAGCATAACATGAAATCAGTGCTACAGAGGGAATACGGCATCGTGTCCTGGGGCAGCCGTGAGTCACCGCTGCGAGTGGTGGAGGGAGGATTGAGTAGGTCAGGCTGTCAGCAGGGAGATCCCTTGCCATTGCCATCACCGTTGCCACCGCTCCCTCTGTCCCGGTAGTTAACTCTTGTGCGGAGCTGACGGAGCCGGAGCGAACGCCTGCCGTGGGAAGGCTGGGAGGGACGGCGCTGGGTCAGGAGCGCTGGCTGGGCTGAAAACCCTCTTGGAAGCACTCGGGGTCTGTGTAGCACGAGTCCCTCTAATGGGGGTGCGGGATCTGATCAGGCAGGAATTTAGCTCCACAGCTGCCCCGGGTTGCGGATTGGGATGCTGCCTCGGTGCTCGGCAGAGGCAAAGCCGGGGGGGGAGCCCGGAGCACCCCACTGGCCAAATGCCCCTGCTGCTGAGAGAGAGGACCGGGTCTCCCAAAGTAGCGTTAGGTTCGTTTAATTGCACAGCTGCAGTTCACTGGCACTTTATCCCTTGCGTTGTCTCTTCTGCCGTCCTGTTTTCCGGAGAGTTGTTGCAGCAGCGATGACTCCCTGGGAGCGGAGAGGCAGGTGCCTCGGCCGCTGGCTGAGCTGGCTGTTCCCCAGCAGCCTTGAGGCTGTTACTAAGTGCAGGATTAATCCAAACTAACTTAGACATTAGTTTCCTGATTTAAGCGAGTTGTCAGCCGCCTGTCATCGGTAAGGAGGGAGGCACTAACGGAGGATGGTCCTTCGCACCCTGTCCTGCGAAGCCGCGTGGTCGGCGTGCCCCGACGAGTGCCCCCACCTCTGCCCGTGGCGCACACGACAGAGGTGCTGGATAGGAGACTATACCCACGAAAAGAAAAGTAACTCCTTAAGAAAGCCCATCCTGATTATGGGATGCGCTGGAGATGCTTCCCTTGTTTCACCCGACAGCGGGCAGGGCTGTGACCTGCGCTGGGGGGGGCAGCGGGGACACCGGCATGTGTAAAGTCCCCGTTGACGCTGGCCGTGCTGCAGCCCTCGCACCCTCCGTCCCCAAGTGAGGTGGGTTTTTGTGGTTTTGTTTTTTTTTTTTCAAGTGGCCACCTCAGCACAGGTTTCTCCAGTCGTTCCAGCTTTTAACATCCAAATCTGTGTTGCCCCCCCCATGCATAGCCCAGACCCTGTTCCAGCACCCTCAGCCACCCACGCTCTTCTGCCCTTTGCACTATTGCTGCCCACCTTCATGAGAATAGTTTCCCCCCCCCCACAAGCTGTTGGTGAACTTCTGTAGAGAATTTTTCTTTTTTTTTTTTTTCAACCACAGCCTGTGAAATTTCTCTCTGCAGCATTTTTCCTTAGCTTTAGGCCTCGGTTGTTTTCTGTGCTCAAAACTGTTGTGTTCAAGTTCTGGTACCATAAAACACTGTGTAGATTTGTGAAAGCATGTTGGTATCGTCCCAGAATTGTTATTCCTTGGCCAGGAGAATGAGGGAGGAGGGGAGGCAGGAGAGAAGAGAATTGTAGTTGAAAGATGTCATCTCATATTGGTTTTGAATTGCCACAAATTCTAATGTAACATTTAATAGGTATAAACCAATGTTTCAGGTATCAGACCTCTCCCAAGAGAGCCCCTCTAAACAACAGCAATCAGCAGAGGAAGATGTTATAATTTATCCTCACACATTCATATTATCCCTAGGAGTTCTTATTTTCAATTTTCTTACTGTGACTTTATTCAGTTACCCTATGTTTCTAAAATGAAAATTCATGTAGCTATCAAATAGGAGGGATTTTTTTTCAGTCGTGGGTATTTTTTCCATTTTCTCTGCAATATTAAATGTTGGAGTTCTTACCACGCTACATAACTAAAATACGCTCTCCAGATTTCTTGAGACCCTCCTGTTTGCTCAGTGTTGTTTGCTTTTTGAGTCCAGACAAAACTGGGAGTTACGGCCCTTGCAGTGCTCCTGATGGAGAGGAGAGCTCTGTACACCCAGGGCTGAGGGCTCAGCAAGAAGTGAGGGCATCTGTGGATTTTGTTAAGCAGTGACTAGGTATTTTATTGGAAAAGACATGAGGTGCTCCTGAAGGCTTACGACAATCTCAATTTTTATTACTAGATATTAGGTTGGCGCTAGGCTGCACGTGATGCAGTGGTTGTAGGATGCTTTCATGGACTGCTGCCTGGCTACTGGGGCAGGAGCGTTATTAGAAGATGGCATCTTCCCTGGTTGTGTCCTGTAGCCCGTGATGTGCCGATCCAACATTCCAGCCTTCTGTTCCAAAAAATAAATGTGAAGTTTGTTCCCACCTCACTGTAAATTCACGTCCTTTCATGCCGAAGCACCCATGTCAGTCTGCCATCCACAGACCTGCTCTCCTCCAGAAGTGCTCGGCAGTGAACCGCATCTTAAATCCCAAATGGGTCGAGTGGGGGACCAGGGTATGTCCTAGGCAAGCATTTCAGGAAGGCTCCTGAAAGTCTGCCAGCCATTCCCCGTGCCTGCCCTTATCTGTCTCGGACAGTGCATTAATCAAAGCAAACAGAAGTCCCTTTTTCATCTGAAGGTCGCTGATAGTCCCAGCAGCTTTTCTGTACTGGGTGGGTCGGTGCTGTGCTGCAGGTGACCTCTGCTATCGCTGGTGCCGGCACTGCGGGGCAGCCCAGGTCTTGTCTGCCATCCCACTAACCGCTGGGTAGGACAGAACCAGATTTGCCAGGCAGGGAGAAGGACCAGGGAGGAGTGAAGCTCCTTCAGTTCGCACAGCTCATTCAGTTCACCCAGTAGTTTGGCTGGAGTTAGTGTACAGTCATGGACCTCGGTATTTCAGAAGTGACGCTAATGGAGATAACTGAAGTCCTCTCTGCTCAGTCCTTCCCATGAGGAGAGGATGTTATGAGCTGTTTAATGCAGCTGAACATATGGGACTTGCTGCTGCGGGCAAGTACTGCAGTGCCAAGCAACAGTTGGCCTTTAAATGTACATTCAAGTTACTGCCCATCAGCTGAGCTGCTTTAACTGTCCAGGTGCGCGTTCCTAGGCTGAAACAGAGGACAAAAAATGTGACATAAACTCTTGCACTCCAGCCTCAACCTGTTTGCAAGTACGCACTAGCTGACCAGCAGGCTCGGTCCCATCCCTGTGGTCCTGCTGGTATCCCAGTGGCTCCATACCTTTGCACTCACATCCACCTCCGGCTGCGGGTGGGAGCTGGACTGGGTGCTCCATCAACCAGTACTGGGATTCCCCCATCCTGGTGTCTTTGGAGCAAAGCACAGAGGGTTCATGTTTCATTGTGCGTTTCCACACGGTAGCCTTCATTTTTTGTTCCCAGCTCATTTAAACTCTTGGCAGACGTGAACAAGATGATTTCATTAAAAGGACACTGTCTGCTGTTTCTCTTTTACTTTGCCAACCTTTGCAGTAGAGGAGAACTTGCTGAACCATGGGTCTCTGAATCCTCTGCTAGATCTGTGAGCAAATACCAATGGTAATAACAGAGAAACTGCGTAGATGTTGCTGTTACAACTATGTTTAGCATTGAAAATGGTTTTGTATCAGACTCTGCCAGACTGCTGGGGCACTGGAAGAGCCCAAACGGTGCCGGTCTCATGGGTGCTTCCTTGGCAGCTTCAGGGGAGATGCGCAACAAAAATCTGGAGGAATCTCCCACCAGATTAATATCACTGTGATGATGATCATCTCTGGGACCATTACTCCTTGGCAGTGTCTCCTGAAGTATTATAAGATAAACTGCTCTTTTCTAAGATTGTTTAGCTTATTTTTTTGTAAATGCAGTAAAGTATTTAGTCATGATTGAATAGAAAGAGTTAAAATGCTAATCCAACCTCCCTTGTTTTAAACAGGAACAGAAATTCTTGGCAAATCAGTTCGTATTATATTCTCTACATTAGGAGTTTGCATATTTTTTGCAATTGGCTACATGTTGCTGCCACTGTTTGCTTACTTCATCAGAGACTGGCGGATGCTGCTGCTGGCGCTCACTGTCCCGGGGCTGTTCTGCATCCCGCTATGGTGGTGAGTGCCCCCGCGCCGCGAGGCCACGCTCCCCACCTCCCCACCCCGCCTGATGCTCTCCTGCGCCGGGTGCTGGGTAATGGCAGGGTGTCGGGGGGGTCCCGTTTCTCCTCTTTGGGTTTTGGGGGGGTTTTTTGTTCTATTTGCCACGTGAGGAGGCTTTGCCTTGAGGCAGGAGTTGGGGGGATTTTTTTTGTTTGGGGTTTTTTGCCAGTTTTAAGTCAAATTGACTACCTGCAGAGCCTTGCTGGTCCTGGCCCAGTGCTTGAAGCCACTTTTTCACCGGCTTTCCAGAGCAGCCAGTAGGAATTCTGTAATTGACTCCTAACTCTGGACACAGTTAACCACCTCTAGGTTTACCCCTGCAGTACCGCTGCATGATTCGTTCTAACTTTGCTTCCTGCCTTTTTTCTTTAAGCCATTTTTTAATGTGAATTCACTTGCTGATTGGTACTAAAATCTCAGTGAAAGGCTGAGCCCATTCACTCGGCACGCAGCAGCTGGCAGTTTATTGCACTCGATGTCACGAAGCAGTTTATTGCACGAGATGTCGTTAAGCAGAGGCGTTCGCCGGCAGAGCTCGCTGGGCCAGCCCTCTCCCACAAGCTCTGCATGCCAGGAGCCCTGCGTCCTCCCAGGCTTTGCTTCGGCTGCTGGAGCAGGACTTTGATTTGTGAGCTCCTTCGGCCCATAGTAACTGTGTGGCTGAGCCAAAGGTTGGCTCTTCCTTACCCTGCTCCTTTGAGCCATCCCACACTGTCTTCTTGGTGGCTGACTCCACGTTTTCTTTCATTTTTCCATTGCACTCACCCACCCCTGCTCTAATGCACTGGTGGACGCGTAGGTGCACTCTCACTTGCCCATGACTGGTCTGCCCTGCGGGACTGAAAAAACAGTTTAGGAAAACTCCCTGAACTTCTCAGCTGGACAGAAGCATTGAAGAAGGGCATATACCCTTGTTCTGTTGTTGCCTTGGTCATCTGCTGTTTTCTGAAGAGATAGATGTTTAGAAAATAATAAGGGAAAGGCGAGGTATCATTCACACTTAAGGATAATTTACAAACAGACATAGAGTTCCTTCCTTTCCTGTTAGTCTTATCTGTCAAACCCTTTTCTTCCCATTATCTTGAACGAGTTATACCTATAAGTAAGAGATTAATGTCTTTATAACAGTTAGGAGATTTAGACCCACTCTTCTATAGCCTAAAAGACCTCCTGCAAATCTCAGTCTTGTCAGAAGTCTCTGCTGATGGTTTTGGTTTGTTGTTTGTTAGGGTCTTTTTTAATCTTAGTCTTCAAACCAAACCAAACCTTTAAAATGGTTTTCAGCTCCGCCTCTGCTATCATCTGATTTTAAAGATAGTCTCATTCTGTTTAAGGGTCAGTTTGCTTATTTAACTTCAAATGTTTCAAACTCCTTCAACTCAGTGGCATTTCCCTCTGCGCCAAGCAGCTGCTCTTTGGGGAGGCTGGTTTTGGGTGGAAGCCTCTCAGATAGATGTCTGCTGTAGAACAGGCACCATGAGGCACATGAAATTTGTCCCCAAGGCATGGCTTCAGAGTCCTGCTTTGAAATGTATTTGGTGGGAATTTTCATGCTTTTTAAGAGCATACATTGTAAAGCATGCCAAAAATTTCCACGGGTGGCACTTCCAGTCTGGGGCTAATGTGGGGCTAGATGGGGATCACGGTGCGCTGGCAAAGCTCTGCCGAGGCAGGTTGGTATTAGCTGGCATTTGAGCGTCTAGACCCACTGTTTCCACGGGTGATGTGACTTGCATGTCCCACTGCTCCATGCCATAGTTGCTCTTTTATTCATTCCTCTTCCAAATTCTCCAGAAGGTTCCCAGCATCGTCTCTGCAGTCTTGTGCTCCTCAGCTTGCCCACAAAGAAGAGCAGTGGAGACAGCTCATCTCGCAGAAAGTCACATTAGTGGCTGAACGATCTGATACAAACCATCTGACACTCGAAATCATTGACATGACTTTGGGTCAGTCCTTAGGGAGTTCATCAGAAAAGGAGTGTCTGACCTGCTTTTTAACAAGGAGAGGAAAAAATGCTGCTGGCTAAAGGGAGTAAGGCAGCATCTGTTAAGATCAAAGGATTTAGTTAAGGAAAGGTGAGATTTTCTGTCCTGTGTTTGGTGTTAATTCACTCAACACATGTCTGGAATTGATTAGAAAACGTCATCAACTCTGCAAGGGGACACTGCCACTGTCCTCTGCCTGGGAGAGCCTGCCTCAGAGTGCTGGTAAAATTGTGAGGTTTGTATAGAAGATTCCTATGACGCAGAGCCTTTAAATATACCCTGTGCATATTTAAAGCATTTCCACATTGTATGCAGTTTCCTAAGAATATTTTTGCTCAACGCTAGTTAAGCTACCCCCATCTTTGCTGTCTATCTGGTGACATCTGTGTTTTTTCTGGTGAACATCAATTATTCCTTAAAAAACAACCACCCAGGGCAAGGGCCCAAGCGTGCATCTACTTCAGCACGAGAATAAACACATCCTATAAATTTGAATTCTCCCACTGATCCCAGTGGGACAAATCCATGAATTACATTGCCCACATGCTTCTGTGCTGACTGTCTTCTGCTGCGAGCAATCTGAGATGAGAGCGTAACTCATAAAAACGATACATGTGTTTTTAATAACTTTTTACTTTTGTGAAAACGTTGAGTCATTTATTCTGAAACTTATTGCAGGATCATTCCTGAATCCCCTCGGTGGCTGATCTCCCAGGGAAGATATAAGGAGGCAGAAGTTATTATCCGAAAGGCTGCAAAAATAAATGGCGTTCCAGCCCCAGCCGTGCTTTTCGACACCGCGGAGGTATGTTTCATACATCCTGGTACTTTTACCTCACCAGCAGTTTCCCACTTTGGCCAGCTGACCTGTTGGGAAATGCCAGCAGAGAAATGGTTTGCACCAGCAGGTCTTAGAGGCTGGCAGTGACTGTTGGCGTGAGGTAAGTGCTGGGTTAGTGAGTTCAAAATGAGAAGCCAGAGGGAGTTTTTATTTGTTTGGTTTTTACAGTAAAATTCTCTTCCTCAGCAGTGGTTGGTTGTGGTTTTCAGAGCAAGGGTGACCCAGATTGCTTCACCCTTTGGGCACTGAGAAGACCCGAGGAAGACATGTTTGTCCCCATTTCAGCTTGGCGCGGTATTAGCGATTTGCAGTTTAACAGCAGCCCTTCACGGGGGGGCTGTGCAGGGGACCCTAAATCGTGCAGGGGCTGCGTGGAGCCCTGAGGGACTCCTCAGGTTGCAGAAACCAGCCAAAGCACCCGAGTGCTACAAGGGCACTTGAAAACCATGACGGTAGCGAAGCCAGTGAAGAACATTAAGCCCTTCTTCAGGCCTGTTTTTTTTCTTGGTATTTCATATTTATTGGCTAAAAGGAGAAAGCCTAGCACAAACCTAGCAGCCCAGCAAGCCAGGGAGCAGCACAGCCACAGCGGCACGGCTGGTTCTTGTGCTCATCTCCCCATCTAGTGGCTCTGCCCTCGCCGGAGCTCCTGCTGAAGAGGCACAGACATTTTTCTTGTGCAAAGAAACCAGCAACACTTCTAGCCTTGTGTCAGCAATGACCGTGTGTCCATATGTCAGATCTTGCTTTACTGCGTTACACTAGCACCTGCGTTTTATGCCTCCTGATGTCTCCTGACAGAGCAGAAAGCAAAGCACGGCGTGCTCCTCTGCAGTATCTGCAGGAGAGAGCTGCTGCGTGCTGCACCTCCTGCAGGCGGGATCCATCTCTTCAATGTCACGCTTACATTTTGGCTGAGCTGCTGAAGATCTCTTTTCCAAGTGTATATTCTAGTGTAAATTGAAGTGCAGGTTCCAGCTACGGGAAGCTCATCCTACAGAAACCATGGAAAAGCACTTTCCTTACTTTACAGCCAGAGTTCAGATGTCTTCCATAGGGGACACAACTTTTTCAGGCTCCAGCACGCGAGTTTGCTTTTCATCACTCCTGCGTATTTTTGAGACCAAGTGGCAGCTGAGCTGTCCTTTACTTCGTGGGACTCTTGCGTGCCAAAGCGTCTGTCCACAAAAGCCTGAGGATGATGTTTGCACATTAAGTCCTCTGTTGAAAGTATTTTTCAAACTTTGCTAGAAAGACATTCCTCGGAAACCATCCTCTCTTCCTAGGAAAGGAAACCTCCTGGGTAGCCCCATAGGGAGGGCCAGGGTGGTTTGCTCTTTGGGCTGGCCACAAGTGCTGGCTTTGCCCCGGCGAGGGCTCTCCGTGCAGGCAGAAGGGCACCCTAATGCCACCCAGAATATTCCTGCTTCAAGCCTCAAACTGGACCCTCCGTCTCCGATCTGGGGTGCTGGATGCTCCCATGATGCTCCCTGGCCACCACACTGAGCTCTGGCATCTGTCCCCCTCCCCGGCAGGGTGCCGGCAGGCAGGCAGCAAACCTGGGTGATTTTCTGCATTTTTTTTCACATTGCGAAGGTTGAAGAGAAGGGAGTTGAGTGGACAGAAAAATGCCTTTTGTAATGAGGTTACTCCTGGAAATACCATGTTAGTTCCTTAAGGAAGTGTTAATGCGTCTTTCTTGTCAGCTGATACTCCTTTTTAATTAGTCAGCATGGTGCAGTGGTCTCAGTGCTACCTTTTTTTTAACAAAAAAATGGAAACTACCACGAGTACAGCTGGGTGCAGAGACAAGCTCTACCTAAGGACCGCCCTCCCTGGTGCAGAAGCGGCCCTTGGGCTGACTAGTTATCCCCTGATAGAGTCGTAACTTCATAACTGCCCAAACCTGTGGGTATGCAGAGGTTGTTTTGCTCTTAGGTGTGTGGGAATTTTTTTGGTTTTGTTTTCCTTTTTCCTTCAGATGCAGGATTCGAAGCCTCAGCAGCAGCAGAAGGCTATCCTTCTGGACCTATTTCGAACCCGAAACATTGCAACTATTACTATTATGTCATTACTTTTGTGGTAAGGAAATGTGTATTCCTAAAGTACCCAGGCAATAGAACAGTTTCTGATTTGAGGGCACATGACACAGGTTTAGATAATAAGTCTCAGCCTTGGAGCCCATCTACACATGGTCCTTGGCTGGTGCATGGCCCTCGATGTACTTGCACCTGCACTGCATTAATAGACAAGAGTATGGAGCCAGTAGCCTCAACTCAGATGTAAAATAGTTAGGAAACTATACGTAACAACTTGTGTATTTTAAATTCTGTTACTTTTTTTTTTTTCCTTAAGAAGCTCCCATCTCTGTAATCTCTATTTGAAGAGAAATGTCTTTCTTGAAGCAGAGGCAGCAACTCAGTAACATAACAAGAAGCAGACCCGTGGCCAGCGTTTTTGTTCTGTTTCTGTACAGTGCCCATCTCAGTGAGATCCTGGTCCCTGCCTGGGCAGCCACGAGGAATGAGGACCCAATAATACCATATAGACAAACCAGGACCCTTTTCTGTACATATTTCCCCCAGCAGAAAGGAACTGGCTAGCACACTTGGCATGCCATAGTAAGGCACTGTGAGATTTGAAACCCGAACATCCAGCTCTCGTCAAGATTAAATAAGATGTAACGGAACTGCTGAGGGTGGGAGACCCTGTCACTGGAGTTGGCTACAAGTAGGAACATAGTTGGCGTGGGAAGCTTTCAAGAGTTATTTCATTGTGCCGTTAATGAGTCCATTGCAGTGAAAAGCCTTTGTGAACGACTTCCACAAAGCCTTTTACTTGGCATAGTGTATGCAGGAAGGACAGAGAAATCAGAGGTCTCTTCAAGCCGCTGTGGATATGGTCGCTGGAAGGGATGACAGAATTAGAAAGATGGGGTTGCCACTGAGATTTTTATTTTTTTTTAAGCCACAGTGCCTGTGGCAATGCTTTGCGACATCCTATTTTTGTAACAACATCTGAGACAACACTGGAGACGTTCAGAGACTAGTGTTTCTGGAATAATTTGGTTTTATTGCTTTTCTCAGGTTTTTCACGTCAGTTGGTTACTTTGGCTTGTCCCTCAGCACTCCAAACTGGCATGGAAATGCTTACATCAACTGTTTCCTCTCAGCTGTTATTGAAGTTCCAGCTTACGTGATTGCCTGGCTTCTCCTCCGCTCCCTCCCTCGGCGCTACTCCTTATCTGGCACCTTGTTTTTAGGGGGAGGTGTCGTCCTCTTCATTCAGCTGGTTCCTGCAGGTACAAGATTCAATACATGACTTAAGTATATAAAATGTTAGAAAAATTTTATGGTGCTATCTAATAGTTCTGTAAAGTTACTGGAAACCATCATCAAATTTAGAATTTGAGGTCAAGTTTACACCGATCACTTGCAGCCATGATTTTTTTTTTTATGCGTATGTATATGCTGAATCATGCACGGCTCTCATTTATTGTGTCGAATTACTGAGCTTTTTATAGTCTGGGGGAACTGACTTGTAAAATGAGAGCCAAACGTGTACTGTGATTTATCTGGTTGTGCGTAGAGGCTAAAAAAAAACCTGCAAGTCTTCCAGATTTCACTGTGTGTAAATCTCCCCTGGATTTTGTGAAAAAGGGGTGTATTTAAGCTTGTGTTTTGTTGCCGTGTAATCCAGAGTTTTGTTCCACTTCAAAAATGCTGTTTTACTGGGAGAGAACCAAAATCTGTGAAGTACAAAATAACCGGAGCATCTACATTATGCTCAGTGGGAAGTCTGGAGCCAAGTCATCTAGGGATGGGGCTAATACATTGTATAATTAAAAAACAAAACACACACAGCTGCTAGGAAAAAGTGATACGGTCTTTGGGATGTAAAAGAAATATGGGTAATAAGCACAGGGTGTTGTTTATTCACCTTGATTTTATTTTTTCTCCTCCAGATTTTAACGTCCTGTCTGTTGGCCTGGTGATGCTTGGAAAATTTGGCATCACAGCTGCATTTTCAATGCTTTATGTCTACAATGTGGAGCTATACCCAACGCTAGTGCGAAACATGGCAGTTGGAGCTACTTCCACGGCTTCCAGGCTGGGCAGCATCATCGCTCCGTACTTTGTTTACCTGGGTGAGACCTCTTGCGTTTCTTGCCTTGCACTACACAGCTGCCCAGAGAAGTTATTGGAGCTTCTAGAATGCAGGCTCAGCTTTAAGTCCCTTCATTTGTTGCCGTTTAAGTCCCTTGGTCTGTAAGCAGCATTACTGATTTCCTCATAGGCTTTTTTTGACACTCATTACCATCACATTCTGAGTGCTGCACAAATATTAATAATTTTTTTTTTCCTAAGTATACAGAAATGATCCTCATGTTGCAGACAGGAAAGGGTGACAGAGATTAGGGGGTTAAGGTTGGAAGTATCTGTGAGTACTGACTGCTCAGTCCAAGGTGTTCAATCTCCTGTTTCTTTTGCTCACACATGATTTATTTCCTTCTACCATCACTGGACCCAACTCTGCTCTTCCCCTGCACCTAACGAGTTTTGCTTCCTGCTGAAACCTTTGATACAAAATGAGCGTGACTGCTGACTCTGGCGGAGCACTGCTGGTGTACCCCTAAGGGGTTAATGCTGGTTCACCATGCCAGGAGAGGGGAGAGGAGACTACTGCCTGTAGCTCACCGGTGTGGTCTTGTTACCGAAATCCGGAATAAAACTCCTTAACAGCAATGGGAAGTTAAGAAGCAGGCACTCCTTTATTGCAGTGCTGGGGACATGGGGGATCGCTCCTCCAAAGGCATGTCCAACTTAGTATCAAAATCCATCAGTTTTTATAGACTTTTTCTGTCAGGTCATTGTTACATAAGCTCTTTACGTAAAAATGCATACTATGCTTGTTCTTAAATTTAACCTTTATAATGATTGGTCGTTTGATTATATAACCTTATCAATATTCTTATTTAAAAACAATCATGGGTCAGTTACACTTAGCTCTGCTGACTGGAATCTTTGATACTCAAATCAAGATGGGAAGGGTAAGGGGTTTCCAAGCAGCAAACTGGTGTCCGTGACGGTTTCCTTAGTTTCTTAAAACAAAACATAGAAAGACCAGTAACTTCCTGGTGAGGTTTCTATGGTAAGTTATTTCAAGCCTTAACAATATTAAGGTTCCTATAGTCACACATACCACAGTTCCTAAAGTTTCTATGGCTACGTTTCAAATTTAACAATCCTATACATTTTACTTCTTAATCAAACCAAACTCTTTTATGTGATTAAATTTTGATTACCAGAATATTTGCAACAGTCTCACCTCTACATTGCAGTGTGACTGTAACACACTGTACCAAAAATGATGAAAATACGTTGTCTTTATTTCATACTGTACAGTGCGAATCTAAAGTAAAAGGGACAGCAGGACTGAGATGCTCCTTAGGGTCTTCAGTCTCTGTTGCAGCACAGGTAACAGTAATAGAGAGATGTAGACAGGATAAAGTTTTTACTGGTTTGTGGTTGTGTTTTTTTTCTCCCAGGTTTCCATAGGCTTAGCCTTTAAAAAACCTTGTTCCAGTCATCAGAATAGTTTCCTAAACTTTAGGAGGTTTTTGGAGAAACTCGTCAGCTGCTGATATTTGCTACAGCTAAATTAGGACCTTGCAGTTCATCCAGCTCATGAACACAGAAGAGATCAAATCACAAACTTTGGCTTTATGTGAAATACCCAGGGGTCTTCACTTTAATCTGAGTTTATTCCATACATTATAAAGCAACTGCTCTATCCCAACTAAAAAAAAAAGCTGTCAAGTCCAGTTTGGTACTTTCTCCACCTTAAATACTTTAATTCCTAGCTAATCCCTTTACTGAAAGACCTTTTCGTTGCTGTGCTATTGTGACTTGAAGCTCTTGCATCCTGCCCAAACACTTGTGCGCTAGCTTCAGGCTGCTGGCAGGGGCTGCAGCCTTCTAGTCCAAAATAATATTCTGAGTAGACCAAGGTCAGAGCCTCTTGTCTGTCTCGGGAGGCCTGATGCTTTCTCCCTTTGCAATAAGGAAGGGATTTAAGGATTCCCCCGTTAATGGCCCATTAGTCCGTAATTGGCCTGTTCAGCTGCCATCACTCTCTTGCCTTCTTGTGCACAAGCCCAGCAGGATGCACAGTCCCAGGCAGGTGATGAGTGCTTTGTTGCTTATGAGCACTTCTATTCCCTCACACTGAATTATTTAATGGAGGATTTGGTTCCTGATGACAGTGTAGTACTGAAGACTCTAGCAGTGATCCCAGCAGAGCTGTTACCTTGCAAAGATGTTGGCTATCCCAGTTGAAAATGTACAAAAAAACCTATTGGCCACTACGCAAACACGGGGGATGGCATGAAACTGGTGGTAGGTGGTGACCATCCTAGAGCACACGTTGTAGACTTAAAATTGAAAAATCCCTTTGTTTGCTAGCAGATGCCAGATGTAGCTCAGTTTTGGATTCACTGTTGATATTTGCAAAGATTCCAGCCAGTTATTCCAAATTAAGTCTGTGTTACAGCGATGTCTGGAATGTAAATTTTACATGAGTTCATTGATTGTGGACATATAAGTACTGGTGTCATGTCCTGTGTTCTGTCAGGTGCCTACGACAGATTCCTACCATATATCCTGATGGGAAGCCTGACTGTGCTGATCGGAATCCTTACCCTGTTTCTCCCAGAAAGCCACGGCAATCCCCTGCCTGAGAACTTTGAGCAAATGCTGAAGGTGAAATGGTAAGGCGGCTGTCATTCATCCCATGTGTCACAAGAATTCAGGATCTCTTTCTACATAATCCCTTTTTACAATCAGTAAACATGTTTCTTCAGATCTACTGCAAAACATCAAAGCTTTCAAAGTGCCCTTTAATTATTTTTTTTTGAGTTGTTAATTTGGCAGACACTGACATTATGCAGTTTCTCCAGAGTCCCTGAATCTGAGAACTGATGTGCTTGAAAGTGGGCACTTGAAAAGCAAGGCTGACTTTCACATCACCTTGAGGCTGTTGCTTCATATCTCCCAAAAGTTTCCATCCTTTTATATCATTCACTCTCCTTAAGTCTTCATTTAAACTATTCATTTAGTAGGATGATTCACATTACAAAAGACTTCACTCTTTCAGTGTTAGTTCATTAGGTACTACTCCAAATTAAACACAGGATTTCAGTATTGTAGTGTCTTTCATTTGGGAGGCTCGAGACATGCTAAGACAGCTTTTCTCCTGGTTTATTTGGTTTAGCTGTAAGCAATGACAGTTCTCTTGCCACACCACCATTGCTGTTTAGGGTGCCCTGAGCAAACATCTCCACTGAAATCCGTGCGTGTATGTTGTAGTGCTGGTGCAGTGGAGATGGCCAGTGTTTGCTAGTTACTATCATGGGGGGAAAATTCTTGGGAGCAGCAGGGGGAAACTGAATTAGCCAAAATGCAGATGCATAGCTACCATCCAGCTTAGTGAGAATTTGTACTGGAACAGACTTTGCCCTTGTAAGTAAAAATAGCTTGAAAAAGCCGGAATTGCCTGTATCTAATTCCTGGTTGATATAAGGAGCTGTCATTATGCTTCCAGAATAAGACGAATTCTCGGGCCAGGTTCCTTGAGAAGAGCATGCTGCTCTTTATCACAATTAGGGACTTTTCATATGTCTGACCTATGGCTTTTTGGCTTTGCAGTTGACGGACTGTAGCTAGAAATCCTAGAGTCAAACCAGATTCCCTTCACAGGCTTCTTGCATAAACAGACTGAAGTAACTGAATTACAGTCACTGAATTACGTTCAAGTTCCAAGTGGTGTTTGCTGCACTGCTTGTGCCATCTGGAAAGGGCATACTTTACAGAGCATTACATTTTTTTTCTAATGTTTATATTAGTAGTGTAACTTGGTTATTTTAGCGGTGCTAATTAGGAGGGGGGAGTGTCTGATGACACCCTGTAGAATGTTCTCTAGCTTCTCAGTCTTTTACTTGCTTTCAGTTTCAGAAATGGGCAACAAACCACTGGCATTAGGAATTCAAAGAAGAATTCTAAAATTCTGATAACACCCCTGTGAAGAAGGATGCACACTCTCAGAGGGGCTGAAAGAAGAACAAGATCTCTGCAAAATACGTTTTCTGCCAGAGGAGAACAAACAAAACCCAACAGTCAGTGCTACCGCACCACAGTTATTATCTCCTGTGCTACTGTACCCAAATACATAGTTTACTGAACAGATGCTGTCTACTCCCGTAAGACTCTTGGTCTGTAATTCAGTGTCTTGATACCTGGAGTTTGTCAGCAGATACAGTCCCTGTTGAGAAATGGGGACCTGCATGTGCTTAACATGATGAATTCAAGGAGTGAGCTAGAAATGAGCCTTAGGAATAATACAGCAATGACTCCAGTCAGTCAGGTTCTCCATGAAAGCTGCTTTAAAGGAAAAAAAAAAAGATAGCAAACATAATGCTGGTGTTTTTTCTCACTGTGCATGTTGACTGGATGAACGGGAGTTGGGTGTCTGTCTTTGAAAAATCTCAGCACACGCCTCTAAAGGAAAGATCCTGGCCTCCTTTGAAATCTGTGACCAAAGCCCGATAGACTAAGTGGGATCAGAATTTAGTTGTGGCAAAGCAGACAGAGACTTCACTGTAAGGATGTGGTTTTTAAACAAGACGTCAGAGTATCTTTTGATGTCGCTTGCTTTTCCCAGGACCTGGGATTCACTTGTCCGTCTGAAAGCTGATGCTTTTTCATAAAGCCTGAGCCCGCTGAAATCCTTGGGCTTCATGAATGTTCAGTGTTTTGGGGGACAGGGAGAAGCCTTTAACACAGAAGACTATCAGCTTGCTGACTTTCTGATGGGCCATGCCCGCTTTCAAAAGAAACACAGGTTTTAGCAAGTCAATGATCCTATCCGAACATGCCATGCAGTTTTAGCTTTCAGGTTTTTCGTGGTATACTGGCATAAGCAGTTTTTTAGACGTTTTGGGTTGGTGTTTTTCAAAGCATTTCATTTCTCCTTTGAATATAAACCACATTGTTCTGTACCTTCAGAGAAAGCTCATTGCAGTTTCAAAAGCCCCTGCAAAACCTTTATATACAGTTTACAAATTTAAAGGGGGTTTGATGCTTGCAAAAATCTGATGTTCTGTACTGGAGATGTTCACCTGCAGCTATTAAAAACGCAAAAGGGCTAATTTGGGACCACAGTTTTTTCGAAACAAAAAAAACACCAACAAAGCCAGTGTTTTGTTTTTCAAATTCTATAGGTTATGTATGTGGGGTTTTTTTAAAGTTCAGCAAAGCTAGACTGGACAAAAACAAATTTAGAGCATAGAGTTGTGCTACTACTGTTTTATGAACACTACAGAATTTGAAAAAGTGTAATACCTTTTATTTTTCTATTTATTGGCTATGCATGCACTTCTTGGCCACATAAAGTCTATCAGACCTGGCAGACTGATATTTATCCTCTATAAATAATAATCAGCCATGATTCACCTTCTATAAGGGCCAACAAAAGCACACTGTTTCATCTCTAATGTTGAGAGTTCATGGCAAGTCGTCTTGTGCTGGCATTTTGCACAGGAATGAGACTCTCCCTGTAAGTTCAAGCACAAATATAAAGCTTTAAACATTTAAATGCAAGGAACTTGTGCAATTATTTCAAGCTGCTCTTTGGGATGCGGGAATACTACTTACTTTCATGTTAATTTTGTGCAGTTATGCTTTTGCCATAAATGTAATGTGGCATGAGGCAAACGTTATCCTGTGACTGCTGATGTTCTCATCCCTTCTCAAGCTGGAACTTCTCTAATAACAGCAGTATTTAATCTTGGTTTTACTTACTACAAAGTTAATCTATAGACTAGCTGTTTAGACATAACTCAATTTCTCAACAAAGCCTTTATATCAGCATAGGACAGGTTTGAGGACTTGGTTAAATATAGGTGGCCGTATTTTTATGAAGATTTTTATATTAAGTTGATACTTATTTTATGTGATCATAGGCTTGGGTATTTCTGAAAGGTAAATATTTTTGTACTCTTGAATCTTGTAGTATCTTAAAACCTAGTTTTCCTTTTTTAAATAAGAAAAAGTGTTGTGGTTTTTTTTTTAAATATCTTGTTTTAATCAGTCTCACTTTTCTTGTTTATACCATTGATCTCAAGCTAGTGTCATATTTTAGTATTTTTAATGGCAGATTTAAAAAAAAAAAAAAAAAAAAGTCTTCCACAAGAGTGGAATGCCATCCTGAAAAGTATGTGATGTTGTTATAAGGCCTTACAGTGTCTGAGCATAGTAAAAATGAGAAAAAACGAGATTGCTTCAGCTGATGAAGCATTTGCAAGGAGAATTTCTGTTCTCTGCCAGTATCTTTCCCACGTTCAAATAGGGATTTCTGATGAAACCCAAAGAGCAACAGTCTGCAGAAGAATCAAACAGGGATGAACCTGGAGTGCCAGTTTCTGGCAAGTTAACTATTTTTTTAACTGTAAAGCTGAAGAAAACAGCACTGGTTTAGTAGCTATTGGCAGAAATTAAATTTATTGCTGGTGAGCTATTTAAGCCTCTTGCTGCCATCTTCAGGGAATTTTCTGAGTGTCAGGTACTCAGCGGGGGGAGTATGGGACCGGTGTGTTCACATGCAGCTGGGCGATGGCTGTAAGGCTCTGACCTGGGGATGGGAGGGAAGGACCAGCTGGATCGCTCCCACTGACCGCAGGGGCTGTTGCACTGCGCCTCATCTGTCGCCTCTGTCATGTTGACGTGGGTCTCTCTGTGCAACCTTTGATCATCACTCAGCTGGCTTACTGGACCTGCTAAAGCATATATGAAACTGTACTAATGGTCACTCTAACTTCTGTCTTTGTTGTAATAAAAATGTGCACTGGCATTGTATAACCTGCTTTCCATGTGGATTGTAATTGAAGAATAAAGTTGCCTAACTTTGCAAAGAAGTTTAAAGAAGTCATTTAAAACGTATTTAGCATGGATAAAGTATGAAAATAAAACCCTAAAATGAGCTCTTCCACACAGGAAGACTGTTATGGTGTAGTACAGTTTTTCTGGCTTTCAGACAGTTCAGTCCTGACTCTGCAATCCTACAAAGCCCCAGACACAGACTGTGACCAGGCTCAAGAGTGATTTTGAGGTTAAACTTCTATTTTGCCTATTTCACTTCCTACCTTTGAGATTTTTCACAACCGTGCGATTCCGACATGGAACCAAACCTCTTTTTAAATACAAGCATTCAAAAATGCTGTAAAAGGTATACATTTGGCTTTTATCAGTTAGAGGTGGAGAAAATATCAGCCACAAAAAGCCAGCTGGAAATGTAAGTTAGCCTTATGGAGAGCAAGGCCAATTTCTGCAGTGACAATCATGCAGCTTCTTAACTGAACTGTATGGGAGACACCATCTTCCTGGCAGTGCCGCCAGGTAACGAGCTGGGATTTTTGGCCTGAGAATAGACTATTAATGATTTAATTTATTGTTTGTCAAACATGCAGTACATGTCAGCATCACCAGCAAAACCTTTTTACGGCCACAGACAATCCCGCTGAAGGGACAGTGGCAGGTGTGGGAAGGTGCTGCTGCAGACAGAAACAAGGCGAGGAACCATTTAACACTTGGACTCGCAGAAAGCTGCCCGCCTTTGAGTACGCGACGAGCAAAACGATGGGCGAAGGCTCTCACACGTGGCGACGACCCACGCCAGGGCAATCCCGAAGAACCCCGGGCTGGTTCACCTGCAACCTGTCGCTAAGCCCTGTGGGTCGCAGGCAGCCGAATAACGATTCAATCCATCTCCGGCCCGTTTTCTGAATCCTTTGGGCAGCGAGCACCGCTACGAGCAGGCAGAGCTCCCGCCTGCGGGCCTCTGTGCGCCGGGGTCGCTTCTTCCAGCCTCTCCTGTGAACGCAAGCCCGAGGTGCTGGCCGAAGCCAGGCCTGGGCTTCTCCCTCAAGGCCGCCTCGGCTCGGCTCGGCTCGCCCAAGGCAGCTCCCGCCGCCGAGGCGGGTCTCGGAGCGGCGGAGCCGGGCCCCG